CTATATCTAAAAGTTGTGTTTTATTCTTTTCATTTTCTAAGTGCCTTAGGCACTTATTGGTTCCTTGAATGATGATCTGGGGCATATCATCCAAGTTTGTGCTACACAGTCTCTTTGTCTTTGTTTGTATGCTTTCTGGATGAATTGTATCTCATTAGCTAGGGATTTGCATGAGCCCTGAGGACAAACTTTAGATGTGATATTTTTTCGTTTAACTTGTCACTTCTTAAGGAGATGTTTGTACATTCCATAAAATGAATCCATCTCACCAATTTTCTCTGTAGCACTATGTGGTGATTTCATTTGTTTAGACCTAGTTTGTTGAGTTTAGAAGTCTTCAGTATTTGATGAAGATAAGTCATCTCAAATTGCAAGTTCCATTACTGTCATGTACTTCACATTATGATATGTTTTGCAACCCTAGTTTCTTCCTCCATTTAAGCACCTCAGAAAATAATGTGGAAATTTTCTGTTTACTTTAGAAAGTGATGGGGGCTTAGTCATTCAACTTCGATACTAGGTCCTTTATAATCTCAAGTCACACTGCTGAAGGTTTTGGTGACTCAGTAACAACTTCTTTCCTCTGTCAGCATAAATCATAGAATTTTTTTTCCTGCTGTTTGGACACTTTCAGTTGTTGTAAATAGTATCATTTCGGTGTGGTCTTATTGGTTAACAACTCAGATGCCTTGCCTGCCAGATTGTTTGCTGTCGTGGATGATATATTCTGCTTGTTTCAAGGCCACATTGAGAATGTTGCTCATCTCAAGCAGCAATACGGGTTAAACAAGACTGCAAATGAAGTGATCATTGTTATAGAAGCTTACAGAACTTTGAGGGATAGAGGTCCTTATCCTGCAGTCCAGGTGGTGAGAGATCTCCATGGGAAGTTTGCATTCATTCTCTTTGACAGCTCTTCAAAAACAGCTTTTCTAGCTGCCGTGAGTAATTTCTTAACCCCCCCTCCCGGCCCTTTTTTTCAACTTATCTTCCAACTCTATTGTGTACTTTGTTTGGAAAGGTCTTGTCTTGAACTTTTCATCATACTACAACAGCTTGCACTGGGCTTATTACCTTGATATTATGCAGGATTCTGATGGGAGTGTTCCCTTTTTCTGGGGAACTGATTCTGAAAGCCATCTTGTTCTCTCAGATGATGCTGAGGTCGTGAAACAGGCCTGTGGAAAGTCTTTTGCACCATTTCCAAAAGGTAAACCATACATATAGATGCCATGGATTTACATTTCATACACGGTTTGGCATTCTTTTGGAACTCTCCCTGTCATGTCATACTACTTTGTGTGCAACATATGCGTAAAATCATTGAACGGAATAGCATTGATGTGCAATGTTATGAAATTGATCTGGAAGCAAGTAGCAAGAAGGAGATGACGAGAAATCCAAGAGGCATATAGGAATTATATGTGGAAAAGAAACCCCTTCTTGTTGCATGTCACAAAGCGCTCAATATACCTCTTTCATGGACTTCAATTTCTTACCCTTATTGGTACCTCGTGTAGAAAACCTTGAAAACTTACTCATTTTTCCATTGGAGTCAACCCTATGTAGTGGGCCTTTTCCGAACCTTAGTATTTTCCAATTCTCATTTCTTTCTTTAATTTTAGCATTTGTATTAGCCCTATATTTGATCTTTGCTACCATCTATTATGACCATATGAAGTAGATTGCTCAACATGTTATAATGTTTTCTTCAGGATGCTTCTTTACGACCTCTGGAGGGTTGAGGAGTTTTGAGCACCCCCTTAATGAGTTGAAGCCAGTGCCAAGGGTGGACAGTTCAGGCGAGGTTTGTGGTGCAACCTTCAAGGTGGATGCAGATTCTCGGAAAGAAGGAACTGGTATGCCTAGGGTTGGAAGTGCTGCCAACTGGTCCCAAAACTACTGAACTCCATTTTTTTGGCATCCGTGATTCATGTTCACATCTTGATTACTGCTGCTTTTATGGAGTATGAACTTATTGTTGGTAGGAGTATTTTTAAAAAAGTGAACCTAGGCATTTGATACAGCTATGATATCACTTACTGTTTCATTTTAATCTGGTACATCAAAATGAAGCTTTTATCAGGTCTTTAAGAAATATACACATGAATATTATTTTACATTGCCCAAAGGCTTTGTTGATACTTGTGGGAAACTGCTTATTTGATGTATCCAATTTACAATATTTTAAATGGCATTCTCTTTCGTGCTCTTCTACTATGTGTTTATAGAAGTAATGGGCAGCCAAAAGAAAAGGAAACACTGCCGTCATGTGCATCTTTCTACTATGTGGGTAATCTGTCAACTATCATACTGTTGTACCCTACTGAATTTGGGCACATTATGTCTGTATCTGACAATTTTTACTGTTGTATTACAACTCCTGCTGTTAACAAAAAGTAACAATATATTGGGTAGCCTTGGATCACCAAAGGCAGCTAAATATTCTGAAGCATCTAAGAGTTCTTAAACAGGCGAATGCTGATTAGCAATGCCAAAATGACTTTTCACCTACAAATTCATTATGCTGAAGTCTGTATATTAGGAAAACGAAACATCTACACTATTTCTTGATAGCAGGAAAACAAAATATTCCAGTACGTGGCCATTTGTTGGTGTTGTAGCCCAAATAAAAAGGAACTCTAGCTGGTCTTCAGTCCTTTGCATCTGCAATTCCTCCTGGCGTTATCTGAAATATGTGGCTTTTGTCAAGAACAACTTGTCACAAATGCAGTAAGACAACAGTTATTTAGCTCGAGTGGTGTCACTTATTTCAAGAGCTCAGGATGACGGTTCTAGCTCTCTCTCTCTAGGTTGTGGCTTTGCTGTGGTGCTCTTTAGCTGTGGGAGGTAGAGGGTGTAAGAGATGTTTTCAGGCTTTTTTGGGGGTAGTGGTGGCAGGCAGTGGTTTGGGCCATGGGAGGTGGTGGATGTGGGAGATGGATTTGGATTTTTTCTTTGGTTGGAGAGGGTAGAGAAGATTCAGAGAGTTAAGAGTTTTTTTCATTATTTTTCCCCTACAGAATTTCTTCATGACCGTGACAGGAACAGATGTGGTCAATTTCTCAGTCTGACTACTACCCCCACCCGGCTTGAATGATTGTAACTGTGGGTGAATATTTTAGCCAAATAATTTTTTGTATGTGAAAATCTTCAAGTACATATAGGAAGTGAAAGTATCATAACAGTTGAAGGATATAGCTTCGGCCTCGGGAAGATTTGGGGCATCAAACACCTTGCAGACACGCTGTTCCCCTTTGCCCTTCCTAAACATCAACCTTATTGTAGATGCATGAGCTAGGACATGCCCTCCTGCTGGCTTCTTTGGATCGGTTACGAATACTCCCCCACCCGGGTCGGCTATGACTGCAATAAGCTTATAGTCGTTAGCTGCTAGCCAAACTATGTAATTCTTCAAAATAAATCTGAGAATAACAGTTAGCACAAACGGGAAATAGACAGTGAAATTTGGCGATGAAACTTACTGCATTTTGTCCCATATTTTGTTCAACGAGAGTATCTAAAAATCTAAGAGCATGCAAACGTAGTTGTTTTAGATTGGTGAAGCCTCACCTTGATTAGTCATGTAGACTGCAACATTGAATTCCTCAGCTATCTTTATTATCCGGGAGAGCATTTGAGCCAGCTTTTGCTGCAGATAGTAACCAATTTAGTTTGACGAGGGAGAAATAAATCAGAGAGAGAAAAGGTTGCCAGATGTTCTGAATTGTTGTGTCAACTATAAGAAATCCATGTAGCGAACCTGGCGCTCTGCAAGTTCTCCTCTTCCGCTGAAATCCACTCGAAAGAGAGCAATAACTGAATCCACAATCTGAACAACACCATTCCACGCACTAGTCCGTCAAACAAGTCTTCACATGATTGTATGCTTACGATTATGGTGCTAGTTGTGACTTACTAGAAGTCTGAAAGGTTCTTCAGACATTTTAGCTGCCAGACCCAATAGCAGGTTGTGCTGATGCTCGTATGTGTATGCTCGTGCATAGATGATCTTTCATATTTATTGAAGAAAAACAGTTAATAATTCTTTTCAAATTCAATTGATGGTAAATAAGAGAGAGATAGCTGAGCGGAGAAGCAAAGGAAGAAATGCTTTACATTGTCAAGGACAGCTCCTGCATCCATTCCGAACCGCTCAGCTATGGGCACAATACGATCAGGACGGCTAGGATTTCATTCAGTTGAGGAGATAACACGTTCAATGAAACGAGCATTTTTACCGGAGGAGTGCTATCATATTATATAATATTTCATGAAAGAGACTGATATGTGCTACTTTGAATATCCAATAAGAGGGCAGAACAAACTAAAGCAGCAGGGATACAAAGTCCCCTCAGTATCGATGTAAGCAACCTTCCCATTCCCTCCTCTCATGTTAGTTGGAAGCTGAGAATGCAATGAGAAAGATAAATCAACCAGAATCCAACTGTTTTACAGATAGATCTAATTCATGAAATGATGAGTCGTGAACATGCATTAGGAATTGCAGGGAACTATTGTCATTCACCATTGGAACTTCTTACTCGATTAGAATTAAGTGATCATCTCAATGATCACAGAACACTTAAGTACTCCACATGAAAAATCAGCTGGTAGTCATGGATGGAAAGATGAGTAAAAGCTAGGAAACTGGCTACCACTTAAATCGAATCTCAATGGGCTTTGGCTGGGCCTGTCAAGTCCCCACCCCATAAAAGCGGTAGTAACTCTGAAACATCATCTACAAGAAGGCCCATGCAAATGTCAAAGTCGGAAAACGAACCTGTGTAGAAACGCAGAGAGTATGTGCCAGCTGAGTCTTTCCGGATCTGTTTCACAAAACAAATTCAACAAGAAATTGTGCTTAATAGTAAGTACAAATTAATGTCGAGGAAAAAGTATAATGTGCTTAGCACTGTTGAACAGAAATTTGTCTTAATGAAAATATGGATAATGTGATTTTCACCTAAATTCTCCAAAAGCTTCAGTGATTGACAGCGTTTCAATTCCACCTTCGCAAATCCAAGGACACAAGGTGTTTACAATCAACACATTTTGCCAATGCCGAAACAAAAATCAAATGTATAATCCAACAAAGAAATACTCGATAAGTTCAAATTCACCGCCTAAGAGTTCATCTAGAGCCTGACTGCCAGTTGTGATACGAATCACCGACTTTCTCTGTAACAGCAAACGGAAATTAGAATTCAGTTTCACTTTGAACTACACAAACTAAGCCAACAACTATTCGAAGCGTCTATTTGAGTAAGGAGAGTGAGGGCAACTCTTATCTCAGCCAAGATCTGATGGAATGGTTCAGATCATTTGTTTCTATTTCGCGCCAATGCGCATGTTAGCCTATGGAGACTCTTACGATTCAAAATATTAAAGGGAAATCGGGATCTTACTCTCAGAAGAACATCACTTCCAGTGATATAACCGAAATTCTGAAAGAAAATTACAAGAAAATTGGCATCAAAATTTGTGGAAATATCGAATTAATTGCCGATTAACGTTTTAGATGTTGCACTAACCACTATCTTCTCGGCAGCTTCGCAGATCTTATCGACTTTTGCTTCCGATAATCCTTTGATCCCAGTCAAGCTCTGGAAAATGGAGAGAAGTTAATTCAGGGCGCCAAAATTAAAATGCCGAAAATATTCAATTTGCGAATTGCTGTCACCTTCTTCGTGTGCATCATCAAGCCATTGCAGGTGTAGATCCCTGCGTCTTGAAGCTTCTTCACGTCTCCAGCATTAATTCCATGGGAAATAACTTCAAAACGCAAGAAACAAGAACCAGTAAAAAATCAGTATCATTAAATTTGTCCAAACTCAAATGAAATATACAATCAAACATCAGAAACAAAGATCACACAGATAAGGATTCCGTGCACAGAAAACAGAGCAATCTATGATCATCATTTACTGACGAATCACAAATCGCAAACTGAAAGCTTAACAGAAGGTTCAGAAGCTCGAAAACCCGTACAAATTTGTAAAACACAACAGATAGAAATCAAAATGAACACTCCCGAATAATTAGGAAAAAAGAAAACGAAATAAATTGATATATCACCAAAAAAATTTAAATAAAAAGAAATTTGAGATCAAGTTCATGAACGCAACAGAATTCAAACTATACACACGCATCAAGAAAAAGTCCAATAATAATATAGCAAAAAATTGAAAATAAGAGCGGTTTGAGCTCGAACCTCTTGTCTACATATCAATCTACTGTTGGAAAATTGAACTAAATATAGAATGCACAAAAAAAATTCAAATGGAACAGAAATGAAAAACGATATAAAATCGTAGTGAAATAAGTTGAATCTCATATGTCTTCATTCATAATCGAAAATAACTAATACGAAACAGATTGATAAGGAGTAGAAAACTGAGAATCAAGCAAATAATTGAGTTTATATCATAGAATTACGTTTGTCAATGGCTTCGAACAAGTCTTCTTCGTCGTCGATCTCTTCTCGTTCGACGAGCTGTAACTGGCTCGGTTCTTCAGCTCTGTTTCGGTCACATAAACCAATTCAACAAATCACAATACAAGTACGTCAATCGCTGGAATTGAGATACAAAGAGTAAATGAACGATCGCGACTTACTTGAAGGCAAGCATTTTCGGTTGAACTTGCAAAGAGAGAGAGAAAGAAGAGAGAGGCACAGAGCTCACTGCTATTGCGTTGTGAAATTTGAATTCTGATGAAAATGGGGTATTTATATCTGGCGGGACTAAGGAGGTTTAGATGCACCATGCACTGGTATGTATGCTTCACACACACGAACACATCTTGTTGCAAAAGCTGATAAATTTGTTGGATATATTCGTAATTTTTAGAAAGCTTAAGGGCAATTAAATAATTTTAGCATAGAACTTGGGCGGGTGAAGGATCTGTATTGGCCCGTCTGGCCCATTAGGCAATGGCCTGGACCCGCTTGTGAAAAAAGGTAATTCAAATTGCGTTTGTCAATTAAGACATCTTCTAACTGAATTTAAGTCATAGTAGTCAGTAAATGAATTTAAAGGAGTAATCGACACAAATTTAGACAAAAAAAAATAAATAAATAAATAAATTGAGAGTTCAACGGTTGGCCTAATAGCATTCACGAGTTTGGATTTTATCGCCCATTTTCAATGTAAATACTATTAGAAAAAAGAAAATTCGAATGTCGACTCGAGGTCTCTGAGGGATGAGGACCACAATAGTGATATTATATTATCGATGAAATAAAATATCGTCGTCCAATTATAATTCAATACATTAACAAAATGAATCTCACATAATCAAACAACTACTATTGAAATAAACTAAAGTTTTCAAAACTTTTTAATTATTTTATTCAGTTTTAATATAATATTTATTTAATTATTAATTTTCATTGATGTGTCATTTACATTTAGTTTTTAATGGGTTATAATTATGTTTTAACATTTGGGTTGTTACTAGTCATTGGAATTGTTGTATAACCTGCTGCCTATATAAGGCCACTGTCGTCGGATAGTGTACTTGTGACAATTAAAATATTGCACTTTCACGAATAGGCCCATAGGCCATAAGTCTTATAGTCTTCATGATCTTGTGTACCATTTTTCTTATAATCCAAAGTACTTATTTTATATACACATTATTCTTGAGTTTTTGGGCAGCTTCGATAGTGTCGCGTTCATCCCTATCTTTCAATTGACGTGACCGGATGAAGTGTTGCTGTGAGTATATTTGAATTGAATTTTAGAGTTCCATATATCCAATAATATTTTCACGTAGTAAGATATAGTTGTTTTAAAACAATGATTACATACCTCTTAGATATCACATGTCTGCTCTTTCTAATTTATTATTGTCCATTTTATATTATCTATGTTTTTATAATTGATTTGTTAACCAATATTTTATGAAATTATGCTAAATTCCCCCAACAACTACCACATACTAATCTCATAAACTACCATGTATGCATATGCAAGATTTACTAACCCATGTAGTAATTTATCATTGAATGGTAATTTTTCTGAAAGTTTTTCTTACAGTTTAAATAAAAGATGGCCATTTTTTTTTTTTTTTTAAATCTGGTGTGTCGTGAATGAGAGGGGGGGCTTAAGGACACAAAGATCACAGGCTAAGTGGGATTTGATGGGATAGGATCCCAAACTATATCCATGTCTAATAGCCTCACAGAAGACTGCAACCTCACCACCGACTGCGGTCGTTCATTGGGGGTACTAGCTAAATTTTTTATCTTTTAAATTTAGAGATTCGAATTTTGGAGTTCATATTGAAGTTTAGTGATTGATTGCTATATTAACCTAACTAAATTTGTTCTCAAAAAGAGTAATAGACGTAGTCAAAAATCTCGTGATCTTACGAATAAGAGCTTATTGAGGGTGATCTTTAGGCGTTCTCCTTTGTCCTGCCTTTTTTTTTACCAGAAAAAAAAATTAAAAAAGAAGACTGCAACCTCTATACATAACTGCAGACTGTAAACTGTAAAGCTTGAGAGAGAGAGAGAGAGAGAGAGAGAGAGAGAGACTTTTCCCACACAGACTAATTAAGAGGCTGCACCTGGATTCTTCCCTCTACTGCCTTCTGTTGTCTCCTTACACTACACTGCAAATGTGGATATCCTCTACACACACACACACAAGCAGAATGTAACCTTCACGAGTTATGCAGTATGTATGTATGTATGAAATAAAGGACCACCCTAATCTACTACCAGGCTATCACCACCTTCTTCTATCTCCTTTGCCTTCTTGTTACCAGGACCACAGTCTCAAAATGAAATAGGCTTTTATAGGGTTCTTTGGGAACAGACACCACAACACCATGCGTGTGTGTGTGTGTGTATTTTCCCCAAGTTAAGATAATTTGTGGCAGCTTGGCAGGAAGGTAATAGGGTGCTCAAGCCCAGTGTTTGGATCCTTTGAAGTTGGGTTGAACTCCAGAATTTGAAATTCAGTCCACCCCAAGCGCAAAAAATGAGTATTTTGCAGTCAAAATACAATGGATCAATCTTCAAGAAATTATGATCAAAAAAAAAAAAATCTTCAATAAATTATTGCTTCTAATACATGAAATGAGCATTATTATTATTTTTTGGTTAATGGTCAGGGGTGTCTAGACCAACTTTCGCGCATCTTGACTAATTCTCTTTCCGATTTAATCAAAAATATATCATTTATGTCGGAATTAGGGTATTCATGAAGTGAGCATTATGCTGTACTATTTTTCCACTTTTTAACCAATGGCAAATTGAAGTTATGCAGAGACTTTATCTTGTGTGGTGTTGTTTTCCAAACGATTTTGTTGCTTTCACTTGATTTATTGACTAAAAACATTCATTGGGACAAACAATTTACCACCCAAAAAAAATAATTTTAAATATATAATGCATTTTTTGGGTAAATAAAAATATTATTTTCAAAAAAACAATGGATACACAATGTAGTTTCAAACATATGGAAGGCATCTAAGGTATACTTCCAATAGAGAAATACTCAAAGAAACAAAATTACCTAGTTTAAAAAATCACGATTTGTAATACTAGATAACTAAATCTCTCACATATCACGAGATTATATATATCTAATGAATTTTACTCTCTATTATAACAGGAATAGATTCACCATTATCATCATGAATGAACAAAATTAGATTCATCATGTTATAAAATAAGTTGATGTTACAAAATGTCCATGGATGTTCCATTTGTTTAGCCTACGTAGACCGGTAATCAGTATGTTTTTCCTTAATAATCAATAAGGTTTTATTATATTTGTATTCTCTACCCAAATAATTACATCTTAATAAAAAAAACATCACATAATGAATTGGAGTAAGTAATTAGGACACAATACTACTATGTATATAATAAATGGAGTTGTCTACGGTACTAAAAAAAAAATTAGGTATCATACCGATATTTATTATATTTGTCAGTATTTTTATCATTATTGTGAGTGCTTTTACTACTTGTGATACAGAAGAAAAACAATAAAAATAGGTACCACAACAATGGTAAAAATATCCACAAATGTAGTAAATCACCCACATAAGTGGTAATTTTTTTGTATCAAAGAAATTGATAAAAATAGTTACCGCAATAGTGGTAAAAATATCCACAAAAGTGATAAAAAAAATTTGTTATAAAATGACCCATAAAAGTTATAAAAACACTTATTAAAGTAGTAAATTTTAGAGGTACGATACCGAATTTTTTTGTCGGTACCATAATAAATAAAAAAATTCAGACTTTTAGCTTCAAAACAAAGCCATTCACAGCAAAATAATTATGCATCATAGTGCTAGTTTCTTATATGGTTAGGCAGGAAACAGTATAATTAAGCTGAAGATTCTTTTTTTCTTTTAAATTTCTGCAGTATCTTGTAAAGAAAGGATGGACTCACTTTTTGGTTCTTTTTTCTTCTTTTCTGTTGTATCTTCTTGCTCTTTCTGCTTCATCAATTGTCAACAATCTTATGATGCCCGACCATATATTTTTTCTCCACTGCATTTTATAAATATATATGTGGTGTATAGCGTCGGGAGACATGTTTTATTCTAATTTTCTTCTTTTCTCTATATTATAGTATCTTCATTGATGCAAAAGCACATTTCAGCCGCAAAGCTTTGAGGTTCTTTACATCCTTAAGGCCAGATTCGATGCATAAGTTTTAAATATAACAAAAATGTAGGAGTACACATTCTATTCTTTAGGTCAATAGGTAGCTCTACATGCTAAAGATGGAAAACTTTTGTTTATCTTTCTTATGAGAAGTCTCCCTTCTATCTAGATAATTGAGAGGATTTTCCAATAATAGAGCATAGAACCAACCGGGTGCCATTTGCATTATTAATGTTTGTGCGAGAGAGAAGAGAAAAGAGAGAGAGAGAGAGAGAGAGAAGGGGGAGGTCAAAAGAAGTTTGTTAGAAAAGGAGATAATTCCATTTAGCTTCTCAAATCAGCAGACAAAAATCTTGAAAGTTTATGCAAATCTGATTAATTATGTTCATTTGAGTACATTATCTTGCTTTGTAAGATCTCTAATCCCTACTCCATGGTTATTATTCTCGAGGGTGACCATTGCATATAGAATGAAATCTCTTCTAATATATTCTCCCATTTTTATTATTTTTTTTGTACATATCATGAATTCAAGTGATACCTATTATATATTACTGTTCTCTCACATGTTAATGATAGATAATATACCAAAAAGAGAAATAGAGGAGAAAAATATTAAAGATAATCTGAATCTACGATATCTAATAAAATGTAATCAATTTGAAAGATAAAATTTCAAACAACTTCAACTTTTCTCTATCAAAAGTCATTTTCCTGATTGTCTGCATCAGATCATAAACACCCCTTGTTGCAGCTGGCATCAATCAGAAGCATTCAAGAAATGGCAAAGTTTGAAAGCAAAAGATATTAACACTTGACAAAGAAAGATGCTTAATAAGAAACGAACTTAAATGTAGATCACTTGTTCTTGAACAGATAGTAAGAGAGAGGAGATTCATATAATTTTTTTAGTTGAGGTTCCTTTCATTTCTTCTGAATCTTTTGCCACAAACTTAAAAGTCCAAGCGAACTATGGTCCCCTTATTCCATTAATGT